CTGTCCCCTCCACTCCAGAGGACAGATCAGCAGCTCTCATTTTCACTGCCTTGGAAACATTTAATATCCCCAAATAAAGCAGAGTCCTCAAGGGGAAAGCTGGGGCTGGAAAGTGGTGATTGCTCTTGGGAGAGGACACATTTCCGCAACTTACTGCTGGTTGGAGCCTGAACTACCTTAGGAGGTCCCACTGGGGAAGAGCCTGAGTGGGTGGTGAGAGCCACAGAAGAGTTCAGACATTTGGCATGGATTAGTTCCATGAAGACAGCAATCAGTCAGGGCTGTCAGCTTGGCAGCTCTGAACAGTATGAAGTTCACAGGCGAGACTTTTCTGCCCTTGTAGCACTGTCTCATTGATTTGCAAAGTGAAACTGTGTCAGTTGCAGTGGAGACTTGGCTCTGCGTGTAGTTAAAAAATGAATAAACAAAAAGCCAGTGCAGAGGATTTAAAGCCAAGCTTTCCCTATGCAAGTGTTGATAAGTGCTTTGTGGAAACAGGCTATTTCAGCAGTCACAGTTCCTCTACAGGCACTTAACGGGGCTTGGATTATGCCCGCTAAGTAACAGTGTAATATGATGTTTTCTTTTGAAAACACACACTCAGTATCATTGTCTGTTAGAGCAGCTCTATGTCAGACAGGCTCCTCAGTGCCTCGTCACTATATGTCCCCATACAGAACTAACACACTGACAGCAGCAATTGAAATGAACCTATTGTATTCTTGGATCAATGCTACCGTTACCTGCAAAAGTGTTTTATATTAACGCGTATATTTTCTACTTCTCCTAGCGGTCACAGGACTACTATAAACACGTGAATGTTCGGGACAAGCCACCTCCACTGCACCAATTCTGCCACAGCATGTTCCCCAGAGCACCGCCAACACCACGAAGTGTGGAGCTGTTAAGGTGATTGGTCTGGGGTTATTTCTTACCAAACCTTCCACAATCTGGGGAAGTTCTCTCCCCCAACCCTGCTCACTCCCCTCTGTCTTTCCTTTCATCTCCTTTTCACTTTCTTTCTTCCCTGTAATAAGCCTTCATTCCAAGATCTCCTTTTATCTCCTGAGTAAAACATTAAAACAAAAAGACAACTACAGAAAAATCAGGGCAGTAACCAGAGGATGGTGACCTGTCACACTGGGCACTTTTGGGTTTTGTTCAGTGAAAAAATTGTCACATTTTCATTGACCAAAAGGAGGCGCTGATTTCATCTGGCACTCTTACATATTCAAGATTGCACAAAAATATATTACTGATCTATTAATTTCAGAACCAGATTTTATCATTACCATAAGTAATAGTTTACTTGTGGAATTAGTCCTTAAATGATACCTCTTGGATCTGAATTCCTGTTAACCTCGGGAATGTGCTCAGACCCAGGATACTGTGTCAGGTTCATTTCTAACAATGACTATTATGGCTTCACACACAGTTCAATGCTACTGCAGATCCCAGGTTGATCAGGGCATATTCTGAGTGCCTTTGCAGTGGCTGCCTAGACCTTTGCTGATTTGTGCTAAATCTTTCATTTCAGTTTCATGCTGTTATTCTGTTTGTCTGTCATCAGACTTTGCAGGTGCCTTCCTCCCCAAGGAAACTGTGATTTCTTTTGCTATTACATTTAAAATTTAACGACAGTAATTATTTCCTGCAATGGTGAGATTTTTTTTCAGCCTTCCCACTCAGCATGTCTGTGGCTGGTGAGAAAACAAATTACCTGTATAAATATAAATGCTGACATTTAATTGAGGCTTCCCATGCAGGCCACATTCTCACAATTGCTAGACTCTCTTAAGCTTTTTTTAATGGGAGCACCTGTGATTTGGAGTGGAGCGTTACAAAGCACAAAGACAATAAGCCCCATTCTTTGTGATTTTTTAGACATGACAACTTGCTTATTACCTCCCAAATAACAGTAAAAGTGATGTTTATTCTGCTTTCACCAATCTATTCAGAAAGGCCTTGAAATTCAAAATAACAAAGTGTGCTAGCATTTTAAATACATACTGATACTTTATTACTTTGAGTTTGATTTCTAGTTTAATTGGTGGGTTTTTCTTTTTTCGTTTGATACCTCTGTTTTTCTCAAACTTAGCTTCCTTTGCCTGTACCTGCCCTCTCCCTCACACCCGAGCGGCTGCAGCCAGTCTGACAGCATTACTTCCCCTGCCCCCAAAAGCTGGGGGCTTATGATGCAAGACAGCTTAGTGATGGATTGCAACATGAAGAACTTTTAAGTGAACCAAGCTCCCAAAGAAACAATTAGAACAAGCACATAACACCCCAGAAAAGTAAATAAACTTTGGGGTTTATTCACCCACTGATGAACAGGATGTTTACTCTGCAAAGAAGTAGTGCCCCAGCATTTACAAACAACTCACTAACCTACGCGGGAGAGAAAGCAGTCACGGTTGGTAGGTTTACACAGCATTTTGAAAACTGTTCTTTAAGAGTGGCAGAGGTCCAGAGGAAGAGATCATACGACTGCAAGAATAAAAGTCATAAAGCTCAGTTTACTCTATGCGCGTAGATGTAAAAAAGTTAGAACCTGTCGCAGAAACCAGGGCCGGCCCCGCAGCATCCCCCTGCACCCCACCTGCTCCGCCCGAGCCCCGCAGCCCCCCGCACCCCCCGGCGCGCCGCCGGAGGCTGCCGGACGCAGCCCGGGGACGGGGGCTCGGCGCGGCGCCGGGCCGGGGTCCCTCTCGCCCCGGGCACAGGCGACATCAAGGGAGCAACAGCCGGACGGGTACACCGCGGGGCCCGTGGCCCTGTCAGGTAGTTTCCAGCAGGAACCAGGCAGCACATCATCATTGACCTTTCCACGAAAGGGCACACAGGAGTATACTTGCATTAGCCAAGAAAATAAGCAGCTGCTAGTTTGCGGGAAATGAAAAAAAAAAAAGAAAATCAACAGTGGCAAGGAAGAAGAGTCTATGATTTAAAGCATTTCTGCGTCTCACCCCTAAAGCCTCTGCTCTGCAACAGTCAAAATATTACAAAGTTAAACAAGCAGGGCAGTGGGGTGGGTAAAGCTCTCTCTGAACATGCTCAGTGCAGGCAGGATGCGGTGCTGCCAGTGGCGCTGCTCACAGAAGACATGCCACAAAGGGCCTGAGGATCTTCCACCCCTGTTGACTTCTCAAAAAGTAAATATTTAGCAACACACCTCATTTCGTATATGCTGAGCTGAACTTGGTGACAAGGCAGAAATCTGAAATGGTTTTTGGTTGTTTTTGAATAACATATTGTTTGAGCTCCAATCTGAGCTTTAATCTGTTTCAGTAACAGATTCGAGTCTTATTTCTCAAATATTTCCACTGGGATAATGATGCTTGTTTGGCATCCAGAAGACATGCTCATAACAGGACATTTGGACTCCTTGTGTAGCTGTTTATTTCATGAGCCCATTAACTTTGTCTTCACTGGAGATGTCTGCTGATTTAATGTCCCGTACTTTAAAATAGTTTTGGTATATCTGTAAGACAAAACAGAAGTGCTCAAAGCAGTGCACAGCACTCTAAGAAGTGGATAGTTCAAATATGTTCCAGTAGGGCAAACAACTTTTATTACAGACTAAATCAAAAATAGGTTACGATTATTCCAGCCAAGAGACAAGCTGAAATAGATCAATGAATTGTCCCACCGCTGCGCCATCATGCCCAGATGACATTCTGAAACTTCCCAGAAACCAGTGCTTTCCTGAGCTGTGCCAGGGACTGTGGAAAGGTGTGTGGAGGAACTTTTACCTTTGTAATTTAGCAAAGGACTTATGTGAACGCAAGCGCTTTCCCATGCTCAGCTCTTAAACCAATTCAGTGCATTTACCTGCTGCTAAACTGGCTCATGACAACAGATATAAGTGCCTGGAATCACTTGTTGCAGAGATGACATCTTCCATATGTAAATGTATACAATGTATCTAGATGGTTCATCACTAATAAAAAATTTTACAGGCATTCATTTTCAAGTGGTCACTAATATGAACATGCAAGATCCAGTGCAAAGTTCAATTCAGAATTTTCTTTATTAAAATACCTTTTCACATTCCTTATACTAATGCATTTGTATGGACACTCATGGGATGCTAGAATGACTGTCAACAGAAGAATGCTGTGAAGTCAGTCATTTGTGAAAGGCTTTTGATACAAACAACATTTGCATAGGGAACAATAAATTAGAGATATTAGCCAGTAACTGGAGACTGAAAATTGAAACATCTGGAATGAGTATACAAAACCCTTTTGTATTTCTTGCTGGTTTTGCGTCTTTGATGCAATGCTTAAAGCAGTAACTATATATGTATGTACAAATCCATGTCCCGTCTTTTCCCTATTTTCTAATTGAAATGAGAACCTTCTTACCTGTGGCCCAGATCTTGTAGTAATTTAATCTGCAGTAAGAAAAGGAGAGCAATTGCAGTGTCAAAAACCAGTTGGTTAAGGTGTTGGGGATGGTACTACTTCTGTTTTGGTTTTCTTTTTTTAAACTAATGCAACTGAGATAAACATGGGCTGCAAAGATTAGATCCAGGTCCAAACTGGATCCATGTTAGTGGTTTATCATACTACAGAGAAAAAAGATAGGTATGGAGTTCCATCCTGGACAAACTGGACACAAGTATGACTTCATATCTCTCCTAAAATCAAAGGAATAAGGATTATACATAACAGGTACAAACTCACTGACTTGGGTGTAGTATATCCACCCACTCAAGACCTATACTTTGCGTCATCCAAAATAACTGTGATGGGCAATCATTCCTTGAAGAACCATCACACCAAACTAACCAACAAGCATCAGAACTTTTAAAGGGGAAAAGCAATTTAGCAAAGAATAAAGAATATTTGTGCCTCTACTGATAGAAGCACTTGGGAAAGTACTGAATCTCTGAACAGTTATTCAAGTTTTTAGAGAGCCCAGAGCTTGCTCTTCTGTTAGGCCCTCATTGCAGTGTAGCATCCAAGTAAGCTATAAATTAGCTGGCTCCAAGACCGGTAGCAGTCCAGCTGCTGCAGCACAGGGAGTTCAGCACAAGTTGCAAGATCGCATCAAAGAACATACATGGCTGGCCAAGCTGTGCTGAGCTCTGATCTGCCACAGTAGAGTGTTACTGATAACCAAGTTAGCTAGTTTAAAGCAAGCTTAGATATTTCTACATCCTACTAGCATCACAGTAGTTACTGCACTGTAGAAATGTACTTCCTTGGCTGTAGCTTCCCCTTTTATTTCCTCAGAGCATCATGAATTGGCGGCTAGAAAGGAAAAATTGCATTAGCAGGAGAAATTAAAGATGGGAACCTAGGTCAGTGGTTTCTACAGCCACTTTCCTAGGAGAACATTTATTTGTAATTTTTTCCATTAAATGCTTTAGGAACATCTCTATTGTTCCCCCCCGAGGAAATAAACTTTGAAAAGAAGAGCCTGGCAAACTCATAAATAAGTGCTGCAGAGCTTTCGAAACATTTGCAACATCTTCCATCTTGGCTTGTTTTCTTCTCCCAGCTGATGTTTGAGATGACTGTTCTAAGTAGCATCAGGATGCCCTTGTATTCTCTGTTGGCAACAAAACCAAAAAAGAAAAAAAAAAGGTATGAGTATAAATGTCCCCCTGCCCTCTCCTGTCCTTTTTGATCAATACAAAAACTTTAAATATAGTAACATATTCCTTAGAGCACTGTACAGTAAGCTAATAAATACTCACAGTTCCCTGGAGGGATATTCATCAGATAAAAAAAGGAAATAAGACAGCGAGAGATTTAGGTTAACAATTACAGGCTAGACTGCAATACTGTTAATCACCAACATCTGCAACTGGGCTTTTACTGATAAAAGTTGGATTCTTATGGGAACTGCTGGCACTCAACGAATCTGAAAGTCAGATCCCTTATTTACTAGTAGATGCCCAGTTGTCACAATTAGGCCCCGACCTTCAGGCCCCCAAGAATGAAAACCTTTTCCTAAGAAGCACTTGGGTATCTCAACAGCAAGCAATGCAGCATTCAACTTTTAGACACCGTATCTACCAGAGTCTGCTCCTTTGAATAGGTTATCTATTCAGGACACAGCAGGGACATAGAAACCTGGCACTGAGAACCACAAAAGGCAGTGTGCAGATAGAGGAGTCCTCTACACCAAGCAATGGGCAAGGACAAAGAGAGAACCTAAACTTCATTGTCTTTACATTATATATGACAGAAATAATTCTGTCCACTGAGGATTCACAACTGTCAAGTCTTTCCTGACACCCGTTGCCAAAGCAAGTCTTCTTCCAACAAATATCTGCTAAGAGTACATGGTGGCCTCTAACCTAATAGTTCAGCTGTCAGCACTGAGGCGCCTAATTCCTTTTGTAGACTTACCCCCAAAGGATTTGCCCCATGAGTCAGAGGCAGGAATTCCTGGTTTATAAGTCAATGTTTATTTCAGAGTATCACCTTGTTTTTCATATCCTGACTGCCTGAAATCCCCCCCAATTTTAAATGGACACATCCTTCATCTTCATTTCCTGTCTGAAACCGTTGTGCCATGTTACTGTGCACAATTAGACACATCCCAGGTCCCCCTTCGGAGCTGGCTATGTTGTGCTGGCAACATGAAGCAACTCCTCTAGCACTGAGAATTTACAACATACTTTTGGGATCGCTTGAGTGAGATGAGAAAGTGGCTGAAAAAAACCCCAGAAATTTCTCTGAATAGATTTAAATTGTACAGGTTTCTATCTCAGAGGGCACATTCTGAGGTTGAACAAATAGGCAGCCAAAAGTACACTATGTCCTGACTGAGGCTGCCAATCCTCATGTACCCCTAGGACAGAATCAAACAAACAAACAAACACACACTTCTAAGAGGTAATACGGGAGGAGAAGATATGAAGTCAGAATGTAGTGCTGAGGTAAATTTGACACAATACCAATTAGTATTTGGCGAAGTGGCTATCTCATTGTTAAGATATTTCCTTCAATATGTTTTCAGAAACTAGGACCATTAAATAACTTAGAAAGATTGCCAGCTCTGATTTCAGGAAGGAAACCTCCTCCCAGTTCCTCTCTAAGTAATTCATTTCTTTTGCAAATACTTCCTATGGATGGCATTTAAGATACAAATTTCTGAAACAGAGGAGAAAGAGGGAAGCAACCCCCAACCCAAACCTTTGGGTTCATTTCTAAATGACCTAAAAGTCCAAGACATTCAAGTTCAAGCAAATCAGGACTAGCAAATCAGTCAGAACCTGTACTACAATTGAGCCTTTATACAATTCAAATAATTCAAACTTTAACTGATTGTTTTTCTAATGCACCACCTTTCTTGACATAATATGAACACTTTCAATGCCTCTGTGTAACACAACACTTACTGTTAGCACACAGTGTTTACTAAAGCCCTGAGCTCAATTTTGTAATAGTCTCTCAGTGAAGATGAAGCAAAGTTCCTGAATTTCCATGCTGGATTATATTTATTCTGACAGAAACTATGTAGGGGCAAACGCACAAGAGCAGAGCTAGCACTCATTAAAATTATTTGCTTCATCCCTCTTTTTCACGGTGCAGTACTGTGCTTTGCCTGTGACTTGCGGTAGGTCACTGCAGAACTGAGTAAGTTAACAGAGTTTATCTGAGGAGTGGAATCCACATTGTTATTAGAATTTAGAGAGTGAAAAGGACAGCAGGATCTGGTGTGGAGTCCCCATCATCCTTACAAAAACAAAAAGGCTGCATGTCCTCTTCTCTCTGAAAACATAGCTCTTGGCAAACCACCACTCTCTCTGCTGTTATGCCCTTTGTCCCACACTTCTGAAATACCTATTACTTCCTAAACAGAGTCAAATTCCACAAGTTTTTTGACACCATAGCTAAATAATCCATCTGGCATTTCATGTGGTTAAGATGCTAGTTGACCAGCCTACAGCCTGAAGGCCGCCTTTCACTCACAAATTAAGAGAGCAGCAGATTGAAAGTAACTTCACCTCTGAGCCAAATACTTCATTTGGGTATAAAGAAGCAGAACAGCTGGGGAGGAAGTTTAAGCCACTTGATCACTTTATAAGGAGCATTTTCCTTTTCATGAGTAGGATCAACAGCTCCTCATTTGGACGAAACCTCTGAGGTACATCACAGTTAAGCATTATGTGAAAATGAGCTACAGAGAAAAACAGTTGCAAGAAAATAATGTAGAAAGCACCTTAGTAGCTCCCTGCCTCTTCTGTACTCATCTATGTTGCCTGAAAAGTGTTGAGAGGCAAATAGGGGAGATGGAAAATCTATAAAGAAATTTATCTGTCCAATTGAACTTTAGATCACTTGTCTAGAGAGTTCAAAAGAGGGATGGTGCTGCTTTTTGTCACAGGCTTTATTGGGAATAGAAGTGAGCATTTAAGAAGCAGATGGTGATCTATTTGTTTTGTTGTTTTGGGTTTTTTTTTTTTTTTGCTATGTCCTTTAAACCACTAATAATTCAAAAAAAAGAAAAGTTACTATGTTAAGCACATGAACAGTATCTAAGGAGGGGACAATGTCACAGACGTGAACCAAGTAAGGCTACTTCTAGGAAAATTCAAGTAAGATGTGCAAGTGTTATAAATCTGCCTTTTCTTTGGGGTGTTTCTGAAAACGGGATTAGTTTTACAGTGTAACTAGTTTTATTCCTCTCCTACTGTTAACAGGACTTTGTACAGACAACACATAAGAAAACACTGCCCTCAGCTGACACTTTTCTCCCTTGAATCTAACATTATCATTGATTGCCTGGTTTAGCAAGCTTTAGTAGCCCAAATAATTATGATGAAAGTGATTTACATGGGGTAGTCAGTGTATTTTCACTGAAGCAGCCTCATTATACTTCCATGGAAAGTTTTTTTTACTCTTGGCCACAGGAAAAGAAAACAAAAAAATCTTCATAAAACTTTAGTCTTTCATCCAATGTCCATTATAAATGATGTAGGGTGTGGAGAAAAAAAAAAAAAAGCTAAAAACTCCTCCCTGAGCTTACACCAGATGTCTATCACAGCCACTCTTGACCATTTTTGCTTTTGTGTCGGACAGGGACAAACTTTCTTCTGCATGACTCTCTAAGGAATGCCTGGTATAACCCAGAGGAGGGTTCAGCTCAATTTATTTTTAGAAAACTGAGAGCAAAGAATAAAAACAAGCCTTTAAACTAAGAGAGACAATGATACTATAAACCCTACTGGCCTGTTAATATATGTCTGTTTATTGTAACACAATCTGTGACCTTCAGCACACTGCCAATGTCTGTAAATAATACAATGGGCTGCTTTTTTATCCCATGGGGATGCGAGTGCTGATGGAGCCTTTCAAAACTCAAATGGATGCCATAAGCTGACGTAGACTGTGCTATTGTGATTCTTATTTATGAGTCTTTCTCTCCCTCTTTTTTTTTTTTTCCTTTTTAAGTAAAAGTTCCAAAGTCACAAAGTGGATGGCAGAAAAAACACCCTTGTCTGCCTGGTTTGAGGTTGGATTAGATAGCTTATCTAACATTCATAAAAGTTCTCCTGAAATGTATGTTCCCTGCCTCTTAGAACTCTTGAGAGCAAAGTAACAGCTCATTCAAGACATTTATTCTTACAAAAAAACCCCAACCAACCAATAAAAAACCCAAACAAACAACGTATTTTTTCACTGGCTTCTTAGCCCTATAAAGCTGTTCACCACGTACAGAACCTTCACAGAACTCCTAATTGTTTAGCTGAGATCCTCCATATATGGATGGTACTATTCTCATTTCTTGGTTAGAGCAGCATAACTCTGACATATCTATGTACACTGATGTAAAAAATTGCTTGCCTTTAAAATTTCTTACAAGGTCTCAGTTTTCACCACCAGCCCTTAGAGTCATCCCACTTGCTATACCAGTGGATGAAAATGAACCCAGAAGGAAAGCGTCACAGACAGTGAGCAGAAGTGACATCTGGCCGAATTCAGGTGATCAGCCATTCCGCCTTAGTTTAACTCTTCCTTTCACATATTAGGAAGGACCTCATTTCTCTGGATATTCCAGTCACAGAATATACCTGGGTGCATATGAGCAGGCACACCCCGAGGAGATTCACTGGCACTAAATTACCTATAGACTTCACAGATGGAACTGGAACAACAGCTCTGTCCCCTGTGATACGTTAACCAGCTTAGCAGGTTTCCATATGCAAATCTTGAGTGCCTCAGGTCCATCAGGAACCTGAAGCAAGCAGCAACCATCCCCAACCTTGTGCCATTCTGTCAGCATGAATATTTGTGGCACATATCCAAAGCTGTGCAGGCATTCATCACAAATTCTTGAAAGATCAGTATTTGTCATCTACCTCCTGTACCAGGACTACCAAACAGTGGTCAGTTGCATGGACTGTTAAAGCTGACCATTCTATATATGTAGTACTGAAAGCCTGATTAGTAAGAATATATATGAAGGGATTGACCAGTAGCTGTCCAGTAAAGGTCTTGAACAACAAACAATTAAAACATAGCAACACTTGAACGCTATCTTAATAGACACACAATAACCTCAGTCCAATTTCCCTATATTTAACTGCTTACATAAAATGAATACTTACAGAATGCCTGTTTTCCACAGAATCTGCAAAATAAAATACAATGTATAAATTAAGAAATGACACATTGCAGAATGATCAGTTCTGTGTTCCAGAAAATTGACTTTTATGTTTAATCTAATTTTTTTTGTTCACCTTGCAATGATGTAAAATTGTTACCTACATCTAAGGTTCAAGTGCTGGTCCTCAGAAGTATCCAAGCACTATCTTAATTCAAGTACGTGGCTGGGACCAGACATTTCAAAGATCATGTTGAACCGTACATGTTTGACAGCTTTCCTGATTATGGTTTAGAGCAGAAGTCTCTACTGAGAGCACAAGCTGTTACTGGACAAAGAGTCTTCCTTTTAGAGACAAGTTCTCATGAGCATTATACTTCCTCTTCCAATTCCTTGCCAGGAAAATAACGTACTGCAGAAATCCGGTATAGGATACAATTTTCAGAGCCAAATAAGATCCTACAAAGACACCTGAAATTTTATTAATAAAAAGATGCTTGTTCCCAATGAAAGTCTGAGACCCAGCGGGCTCTTTTCATTTAGGATCACTGAACTTCAAGATTAGATCTTAGGCTCCTTTTGTAAAAAAATTGATTCAGTGGATTTTATTCAGAAGTTTCACAGAATACCTTCAAATACTAAACCATAAATATTTCGTTGTCCTCTGAAAGTAAGACAATTTAGAGACATGAGGGAAGTAACCCTTCTTTTAGAAGAGGACTTCAAGTCTGGTTAAAACCACTCCTGTGTATGGTCTGTTAAGGTATTTCACACATGACAAAAGTAAGTGCTGAATCTCGAAGGGTATTTTCTTGGAAAGTATATAAACATGGGATGTCTCTGAATCTATTTTTTTTCTAAGTATATATCTTTTTAAATAACACATAATAAAATCAGTCCTCCCATAGGCCGAACACTTATGAAAATTTTGAAAAGTTCTCTGAAATTATTAAATGAAGGATATTATGAAAAGTACTATTACTGTAAATAAAGATCTATTAGAAACTCACTTGCCAGCCAGCAGAAGTAATAAGGAAACTGAACACAGGTGAATCTAACTTTGCAGATAACAATGCTAAAATCTCTTTTTCTCTCTCCTTTATGATTACATCCATTTGTGGTGCAGTCAAGTTCATCCAGGTTCTACCATCCACATTTTTATTACATTAGGATTGTGATTCTGCTTCACTGAAAGCAGCACCATGAGCACAGTATACAATCAGGCTGCAATTTCTGAAACACAGAGAGACTACCTAAATGTTGCTGGCACTGTACACTATGAGTTTTCTCCAAGACAGTTCTACCCAGAACTTTTAGCCTAGGAAAAAGACTAAAACCTGAGGTGACTACAGCACCTTATACCAGTGCATAAACTTAATTTCAGTCTAAAAATTATCTCAATGTTTTGCAAGATTGATACCTATATGTTTAGCCAGTTTGATGAGAAACAAAACAAAAAGTTACATGGGAAATACATAAAAGCTTTTTGTGTCCTGAAAGCCGACAGAAGTGAAGAAAAACACTGCTGACCCAGTGCTACATCAAAGCTTGACTTTAAGTGGACAAAACTATATGTAAGGTTTATAAAGTGAGGTATTAGCGAGCTGTGGTTTAGTCCTCTGTCACAATGTATTGTGCTTACAGGAAGAAGGAAATGAGAAATTTTGTATAAATTCCAAACTTCAAACAACGGGATGTTTGCTACCCCAAAGCTACTAGGTCACAATAACAGATATCCCGCCTCCTTGTTATCTGTCACCCAGATCCAAAATAGAGTGGCTTTCTAACAAAGTATCATATCTCTACCAGGAGAATGTCATAATTTGTGTCCTTTGAAAGTGCTGCTGGAAGGCTATATGATTTCTAAATGGTGCCAGTCAGGTAAGCCAGCATGTAGCCTTGAATGAAAGCACAATGATACGATGCTTTTGCTGATTCTTTGTTAACATCAATCTTTTCACAAACTTTTTATTTCATTCTGTTAAAAATATGAAGTGTTTTTTACTTGAAACACACTGATTTTACTATGATGAAAGAGAATAGAGAGGTTTTCAAATACTAACAAAACCAGGGAAATGAGATATACTGGATTCTAGTCACATACAATTCATCAAGCTTCCATAGCAGGGCACACAAGCAGCTGCATATTTCATGAAAGGAATCAGAGCTGAAGGTCTGGTGCCGGTGATTTCTAGAAGATTCCCAAGTCTAATAAAGGTAGGTGTTTTTATGGATTTCTGATGGATTTAAATTCTTCCTATTGCTTTTAGTTGATGTGGTTTAAAATTCAAAGAACACATTTTAACAAAGGAATACATTAATGGCAGGAATTTAAGTCACTATCATCCCCACCTCCTCTGCCCTTTCTTGTTGCTAGAGGTTACGGAGAAGAGAATATATGCCTAAAGAGTTGCAATTCATAGTCTATCTCAAACCCATCTCCAACACTGGTGAAAGCTAAGATGCCAGATTATCAACTGAAGATGCTGAACTGCAGACACATACCACATTCTGCCAAGCCTTTTACTGGAGCAGTAGCTTGTAACTGAGAATCTTGGCAGGCAGTTTGGGAATGGATCTCACGTGGGCACGCTCACAATTCAGCTTTGCATTTTAGGTTGAAGCAAGGTTGGAAGCTCCCTGCATATTTGTGTCTTACTGAAACCTTCTGGCTTTGCCTAATTTTTGGCTGAAGCTATTGTAAGCATTTGGCTCTGGAATCAATGTCTCACAGGTCCAGGCTTTGGTCTAGAACATGTCTTGAAACCTAAAGATCCAACGAGTTTTTATCTTGGAGAAGGGAAAGCTTATTTGCACAATTGTAGACTGCGTGCAGCTAGCATACCCTCATAAGGCCTGAGTTTTGAATAACATAACGAATCCCTAGACCCTGTGAGTTTTCTCCATACTGGAAAAGGCATTCAGTGGGAAATTCTGGCTAAGTACAGAGGTGTTAAGCCTGAGGCTCAGTTGCAGGAAAGTATTTGAGCAGATTTCCTGATTGCTAGAACTGATTTCTAATAGTTTGTTCCAAACCTCTGAATGCAATGGGGATTTCTCATGCTTCTTTCCACTGGGATATATTTATTTTTCCATAGTACATTGTTGGTTGCAATAGGATTCTTAGAATTTCCTGTCTCGCCACTGCAGTTGCTTCCAAGTGACCAATTCATTTTTCCAGGCTTAGCAGCATAAAGGCTGGCTCTGCATTTTTTTCACTAAATTTCCATTTTCCTGATAAGAAATTAAGAATAGTTATCTTTCAATAAACCACCATGAGTTCAATTCAGTGAATGTCAAGATTAGTTCAAAGCCTATCACTGGCTTCTGTGAGCTTTGGATCTGACACAGAGCAAAGGAGTTCACTGACAGAGCAAGAATGTACTAACACATTGTCTTCCACAAGAAGTGCCCTGGAAAAATGTAAGGAAACATACAAACTGGAGTTGGCTCTAGTCTTCTCAGCAATATGAACGGAACTGTGCTACCCCAAGAACTGGGTCCAATGTTGAGGGAAGGGGTAGAGCTGAGACAAAGAACCAGTACAGAGATGCTTGGACTTCCTGCCCCTACTGCCTCTTGGGAGGATGAAAGGTGTGATGGAACTAAATCATTCACCTAAAAGAGCCTCCACCCACCCAGCTGAAGTTAGTATCTGACACATCCTGACCCCTCCTTCAGGAAGAGCATCAGCTGCCAGCCCAGCCTGCTGGGACTCCAGCACAGGCAGAGCAGATATCAGGGGTACAGTCATTTTATCATTCTTGGCAGTCTGTTGATTTAGACAATTGCCTGTTTTGCTTAAGTCTCGCACTGCCTCAGTTCTTTCTGAACAAAAGGCAACAGCTCTGGGACTGGGTTGGATATTCCTGACTCCCAATATACTTTAACCTTTTCATAGAGAAACCAGAGAAAGTAGTATTTTAAGGAAATTAGTTTATCCTGATAGGCGAGAAGGACTTTTAGACAAAGGCATTATTGACCTGACTGGTACTAATTCTAATCATTCCCCAAACTGCCATTTGGATGTAAGGTTTGATTTAAAGCTGAGGCTTGAAGCTTTAGGTATTTTATGTAAAATACTAAAGTAACAGCCTATTGCTGTAGAAAAGATTTTAAATCAATACCTGTGTGAACCTCCTAAACACAAAATCTTCTTTCTCTGAATTAAACTAACCTTTCAATAACAATGCAAGGACAACTTCATTTCTTTGAGTTGCTTCCGGAGACAATGCTAGTGATCAGCATCCTCCTTAAACCTCTCATTATATCAGAAGAAATCTAGTGTCCAACTAAAGAGACTATCATTCTCTGTCTACAGTACTATTATTTGACTTTCAATCAAAATACACCTGACTAGACTTGCATTTTGCAAATGACCTACTTTTCCTACTGTTAACGGGTTAACTGTAGTTGACCACATGCAAGTCTTTTGCAATTTGAAATGTGCATTTGACAGTTTGTCTCAGACTCCTGTCAATCTTTAATGTAACACCTCTTTAGGCCTCATACTCAGAATAAGGAAAGCAGCACAACACATAGGATGGGAAGTCTTGCCACAGACAAGTGATGAAGACACTCACATGATAGTAATAGGATGTAACATATCCAATACCAGGAAAATAAAAAGAAAGGGAATAATGGCAGATGCTCAGCACACCGCCAAAGGCGTGGGGCTTGGGGAAGGTCAGAGCATTATCTGCACTATGGATTCATTATTTGAGATAAGGACAAGCAGTAGCTGTCGAACTCAAAATAAAAGAGAAGTTGGTTACTGACATGGCATCTATTGTACTGGGGACAGCAGTGAGACCCATCAGAAAAATGAAGAGGAAAAATACTTTAGCTCAGTCACAAATAATTGCATCAGACATAACACTACTGACAGCTCTTCAGCTTCCTCTCCACTGGGCACAATTTCTATAAAGCACAGATAACTCCTTGAAAAGACAGAATTGCTTATGAAGCACTCAATTCTAATTAAACAAACCCAAACCACAATAGTTACCTAAAACCAAATAATAATAAAATCCTACATAGGTCTTAGGTGTTAAATCTGTCAAACTGTGTAGCTGACACCAATTCCCAAATTAATGTGATTTCCCCAGAGGACACATTTGTCTGAACCATTGACTTCCTGGAGTAGATAGTACTCTTGGGCATTTGCTCAAAAATCTCAAAGAATATTCAAATGTAGTGAAGATCATAATGGTAAAGCAACTTCTGCACCCACTGGTAATGTTCAGCATCTTTCACAACTGGACTTTAATATACTTGTATTAATATATATTAAAGTACTTAAGAAGATAGATTGTTTCCTAGGGATCCCCCAACGCATTTATACTTTACCACCTTGCTATCACACAGCCTATCAAAAATCAAAGTAAATGTTACATTTAAATAGACTGTAATGTAGCTATCCAAAGCAACTGCGTAGCTATGTGATGCACTGCTTATCTAATTGAAACACTTTTCCTGTGTATCAGTCAGGAAAAACAGACGTGATTAAAACAATAAACTGTTACTATGTTTCCAAGAATAACTGAAACTGTAGAATGTTATGCATAAAAGAGCAGGTGGACTGCAAGATTAGGGGCGTTTGCATATCATCTGGCTAATTCACCTCAGTCTTTCAATCCTATCTCATTTTATTGCACTTCCCACTTCATGGCAAGTACACTCTTATAAGTGCTTTGAATTATAGTTCTGCTGTACTAACCTTCAGTTTACATTACAACTGACAAGACATCCTTCTAGTATATAACACTTTTCATTATGTCAAAAATCGGAATGGTGAAAGGTGTAATAATCAGCTTCACACCTCGCTAGAAAGCAAAGTCAGCTTCTGCAGCTTGTTACAGGTCCAATTCATGCTCACTGGAAAACGTTTCAGAACATTAGTGGCCTTCGGGTTTAGCCCTGAAATGAGCTGGTTTTTTCCCATGATGCTGCCAGGCAATCCTACATGAAGTGCCTGGTGTTAAGGATAGTCTGCTTTTCACTGTAAGGCTGTGAAAAATGAGTACAACACACAGGCTCAGCACCAAGCCAGGAGTCAGGATTCTGAAATTCTGTTCCCAGTGTTGTCACTCTCTAAACACATTGCCTTAAACAAATGACCTAATCTTTTTGTTTATTCAGCTGTAAAATGGAGATAAAAATTGCCTTATACGTCCTCACTAAGGGAAAATTAAGTAATGTTTTCTAAAGTACTTGGAGACCCTCACATGAAAGATTCCCTAGAAATAGAATACTGTGTCAGAGCAGGTGGGAAATCCCTTATAAAATAGAAAAATAGCAAATTAAAACACAACGACCAAAAATTAAAAATGGCATACAACAAAGCCATGTGGTAACATGGATGGGGACAAAACCTGAACACTTTACAGCCCTAATATTTATGAATCTAGACTTCCTAACACAGAGAAGAAAGGAAATCCTTTCTGATTTAGTCTTTGACAAACTATGCAAGAATGCTTTTAACCTACTGTCTCTGAACTCATTACTGCCAGAACATTTATAGACAGTAATTGCCAGTCAGCTGCTAATGCCCACATACAGAAGTCTGTATTACAGGAGGTGGAAGGGTAGAGTGGCTGGCACATACAATCTGAGATGATCTTTGATGGTGCTTAAAACAAACAGTCCACCCTACTCAAGTGATCATATTGCTTTAAAGTTTTTTAGAGTTTATTGTTGGAGGCTTTATAGATATTTGCCAGGGTTATATCCAAAACCAGTGTAATATTTTATAACACATGGCAAACATGCTCAACTAAGAGGAAAAGTGTTGTTCATGAGCAGTTTGAGATAACACAATATAGCATCCTAATCCCAAACAGGGCATGTTCAGCTCCAGTTCAGATAAAGATGTATGGCCCAAGCTACTTAGCAGATACAGTGAAAATGGACTGATGAAGTAGATGTTACAAATACTAATGTCACTGCATTAACTAGAATAGGTTTATGAGAAACCATGAAGGCGTTATACAATTTATCAACACCTGTGATTTTGTAGCTGCCCTTCGGTATGTTCCTATCTGACTTGGATCTCTTTTTATGGCATTTATCTTCTAAAGTGTTCAATCACAAATTTATCCTTAATCTCTATACAAATGCTTCCTTTATGTGTTTAATTTTTCACTAGCTTACTTACCATTATTAGCTTTTCTGATTTCACTATAAACTGTTTCAGTCCCCTTCTGTACAGGAGCTGGAAAATGTATTGGCAAAGAATCAATTTCTTTTCTTTCTTTTTTTTTTTTTTTGTTTGCCTTATGAAAAGCTCCTTAAACAAAAAGAACACACTGTTTTACTTTCAGAGGAAGTAGTTACATAAGCAGCAATGAGCCTGTAGAGTCTGTATGAAAAAGCAACTACACCCCTCCCCAAACCCACACTGTAAGGTTCTGAGAGGGAGGTGTCTCTCTCTCCCTCTATATAAAAATGATGATGAAAATAGGCTTCCCTTTCCAAATTTTACTCTAACATTCTAATAATCTTATCAACTTTAAGTTTAATTGATACTGCTTTAATTTTACAGAGAAATCTACCACTAGAGTTGAGTTTCTCTGGATCACTTTGAAGAGTTTCTTCAATTTGTTCTAAGGATTTAGGAATCCTAGACCTGAGGAGATCTATCATTTGGAAGACTAACTACACCCCCTTTTGGCAACTAGCCTGATTAAATTTTATGGGCACAAAAATAATGTAATTTGCTGTTCTTTGTGAAATGTCTCAGAAGAATATTTGCAGATTTCACACTCCACAGTTTCTATTCAGGGGCTATCCGGGAAAGGTCTCCTCTCAGTTCCCCAGCATGGCATACTCTTCCATTAGTGCACTGAGATCAGGTGGACATAGCAGGAGTAAAGGGTAAGAAGGCTTGTGGAAAGATAGAAAATAAGGAGAAAAAGCAGAGAGAGAAGATTTTTGCCTCCAAGGACACAGCTGGGATACAAATACAATGTCAGTCTTAGACACATATTTTTCAGACCGTTAAGTTTACAAATAAGCCCCTGTAAACCTCTGCTCTTGTATGAGATGGAAAGCAAAAAGTTATTCCTTTTTTTGCTGACACCTGTGAAAACCTATCCACAGAGTTTTGATACCAAACTTACCCCAGTAGGGAAGGGGTAGAGCCTTATCTAAAGGCCTGAAAATAGCAAGAACTCAGTTTCTCTATGGTCAGTGTAAACACAGCTCTGGCTAGTGGAGATTAGAACAATTTCCTTTATTTCTTGCGTGGTTGTAGATTAAGAATCCCTGGGTTACCACAGCAAAGCAAAGTGCTCCAGAACTCTGTGCATTTAAAACCACTTTCTTCATTTGGTATAAAGGCCTATGCAGGCAGGGTCTAGGAGCTTGCTGTTCAAGGATCTCAAAGTGTTTTGGAAATATTCATTCATTTCAGTTAAACTGAGTCTCTTAGAAAACCCCAGAATTCTATCAATATCACCTCCAATTTCTGTGGATCTTCACTAAACCAAGAAGTTAAATTTTTCTAGTTAAAACAAACAAAAAAAAGAATATGGTTGTTCCCTCTCTGCAAGAAACTGGAAAGAAAATTCACATTTCTGGATACATAGTCCTCTACTTTAGCTGTAAAAAAAACATTTAAAGAATTCAGACATATTGATCTGCAGCCAGACTCGGAATCAGAACTCTTACTGTTCTGCATCACTCTGAAGAACCTAAGTGTCTCTGGCACCACATTCTAATTTCCCAAAGCTAATTTCATTTTTTTAAAGTTTTGTTAAGCATCCTTTAAATGTTGGGAGCTAACACAACAGAATTGAGTTACAAAACTGCTATTAATTTCAACGACAGTAGGAGTTACACTTCACCGAGTGCCTAATCACAGCTCTCAAATTTGCAGTTTTGGCATGAATTTCCTTTGCAAAATAGCCTGAAGATCTTGAAGGGCATTGCATATGCTTATGGACTCTTGCTTAACTGATCAATTCAATTTCCAGCGAAGTAAGAAGTAATCTTCTCAGAATTTTAATGAGAGGTAGTTCATTTTGTTTGGAACACATTTTTCTTAGCAGATTACAGTCCTAAATCTACTCCTGTTGACTCTGTGGAAAGACTTGGTGGGAAGCATTTCCTTAGCCTGCTTTTTTATTTCAGACCCATTTCATTAATGTGTGATATAATACCACTGCCCGTGTTATTTGCTTTGTTAATCTTCCAAAAGTCATCTCAGCACTGAAAAAATGTGCCAGGAGAAATTACTTGGATGATTTGACATTTTGTTCCCAGTAATTTTGTAATGTTGCCACCCTGCAGATAACTAACCAGCTATAAAAGTAAAAGCAGGAGCATGTTCTCACTCAGCCATGATTAGCAGTTTCTCCCTTCTCACTTTAGGGAGATTTCCTGATCTTACTTTAGCACTGGCCTTTGTTTTTGCTCAGATTAATAATAAAGGTTCTAAATCACTTTGCCATCTTTTTGCACAACCAAGCTTTAGAAAAGATAAGCACTATATTTTTGTCAAGCATATAATCTCTGTAAGTATTCAATTTAATCATTCTCTAGAATTACCACCTCTTTCAATATCAAATTAATATTCCACTATGACTACCCCAAATAAGAGCTGGACTGTGTGGCCCCAGCTCTACCTCGTATTTGTCTAGACTCTCCACTCCTACTTCAAAAAATAGGTATGAAGCTATTCCCACATGGAATTTTTAAAATAAAGCAGTGAAAATTTGCCTCTAGCAAGCTTACCACTCGCTATCATTAACTCTGTAATGAACCCTGCTTTTTGTTCCTCACACAGAAGCATAGTACACAAAGTTCTTGATGCACTAACCTATTTGCCATTATACTGCATTAAAAAGTATTTCAGAAATTACCAGCTACTGTAGACATGGCTGGAAAAACAAGGCAAAACCACTGTTTTCAAATGTAAGTAGTTCTTTACTATCAAAGACAAGATGTACATCCTTCTACAATTATACAAACTTGTTTTGAGGTGGCATTCAATTATTCCTGATTCACAAAAGTGACATAAAGGCTACTGTTATAGCTTAGATACTGCAGTATTTATTGCAGTTGTCTTTCACAATACACAAAATATGATTCTCCTGCTCCTGAGATGAACATTAGCATTGATATTGACAACAGTGGCAGGAGGAACAAATGACTGGGAAGATAAATCAATTTGAAGTTAGTCCTGAGAGATCAAACAAATCTGGAGTTCCTCAAAAGACAGAAGGAATTACACTCTACGTGCAGCCTGCTGGATGAGTTACACATGCCCAGAAAAAAGGTAAGTGTGATATAATTTATCTTCACTCTGAAAACAGGTGGAATCAAAAGAGGTGCAATAGGGATTTGGAACCAGGTGATAGTCTGAAAAGTCTGTTCCCTAAGAAAGACTGGTTATAACCCACAGACAGACGTGAAAGAATATTATGATTTGAAACAAAACTTGTACAATTAACATCAACATGGCAGTCCTATGGCTGAATTATTTTTGAGGGTGTATGTGATTATTACAAGGGTATATAAAGAAACTTGACTTTGCTTCTTTTTTCCCCAAGAATAATCTCATCCTGTTCTCATTGTGATAGGCAGCGCAGAGCTGAAATAATTAATCTATACAACTGCTTCTACTGAAGCAGCATCCTCAAGATGCTCTGAAAGATTAACACATTAAGTACTTGCAGGGCAGTTGCCATTTATGAAACAAAAGCAAGCATTTGCTAAGCATTCACTTGTCCTGGGTGCAACAAAAGAAACAGATTAGGGAGCTATCATATCTCAATATACTTGAAGCACAGTTCAGTCTCATAGAATCAATTAATGCTCTGTACGTCATACATAGGTCTGTAACATAAGACAGCATTCAGTTAAAACAATTCAAACTCATTTACACGCTATCTTTTAAACATTATTTTGCAGTTTGCAGTTTAATGGGGTTCAGTCTACATAGCACGCATACTATCTTATTACTCAGTCTGATATAATGGAATAGTGTTATATATCAAGAATGGGAAGAAAAGGCTATTTTTACAGACACTCATCTTGCATTTAATAGGGGTTTTAATTTAAATAATCATGCATTAACATATCTTTACCATTCTACACCATTGTATTGTGTAGTGCATGTTCAGAAACAGCTGGAACAATTAAGTATTACCCCTATTCTAAAAAAGATTACAATTATGATATCTCAGTGCAGAATTTAGCGGAGTCGGATAAACAGCATGCTTAGAACATGAGAAAAACTCTGTGATGAATGACACCAGCAAATGAAAATAGAGAAAGAATAGGAAGATTGGCTGTTCTGGGACAGTTTTGCTGCCAAGCTTGAAGAGTGAGTACTCATGCCCAAACATCTGTGTTACTAACTAAACAATCATGTCTTTGGTCTCTGAAATAAGTGAATGGTCCTTCCTACCAGGAAAAAGCATATTTGTCCATTCCTTCCTCAGTTTGCTTCTCATTCAGTTAAAGCAATGAAGCTAGAGCATAGCATAAATGTCTCTTGTGGGGTTTACTCAGTCTTAGCTACTTGAAACTTTTTGTAAATTTTTGAAAGATTTAACAGTTTTCAACACAAGGGCATCATGATATCACAGTTCTCTAGATGACACAGAATGACTGAAGTGTGTATTTGGGTCTTGAGAATAAATTTCAGTGGATATTTCTCCTTCAAGGGTGCAGAGACATCTACCTTAGCCTCATGGTATGAGGTCTGGTTACTGTTACCATAGAACTGCAGTTATCTGGGCATCAATATTCTCATTTCTCTGTTTAATGTGCCACAAAATCCAGGATGGGCTCAAGGTCTCTCCAGACTAAAGGCTATACCTACACTGGTCTCTTTTCCTTCTCTATCACAAGTGAATTACAGCTTTGACCCTTCCACCAGTTGCTTTATAAAGGAGGAAATTCCGCTGCTTTCTGTTCTCTCCATTATCCTACCCCATGGCTAACCTCAAATGGCTCTCAGTGAATTTGGACTCTATAACGTGAAGATTCACAGCAGCCTGCCTTCTGCTCAGAGCCACAGCTCCAGCTGGGAGCCCTGCTCTGCACAGACCTCATGTGGATGGGAAGGGCAAGTGCATGAGAGGATCCCAGTGGAAGAAGGGCTGCAATGAACAACAGCATGGTTGCCAGCGCATCATCTAGACTAAGGAGTGCTACTGGCATGAAATTGTCATGCACACAAAACACAACCTGCTCTTACATTCACAGGTGCCAATATCAGACCGGTGTCAGGGAGTAGCAACGTGCCCAGAGTTGCTCCCAAAACATAACCATAGAGGCCAGATAGTTTATTACCTCTGTGAGGATCGAGCGTTGATACTTCAACTTCAGTGTACTCCACCTCAGCACTCTCAAGGTCAGGTCCTGCCCCAAAAATATCAAGAAGATGTTTCTTTGTAGGACTGCATGCTTCATTTGAACTGTGGGCCTGATCCTGCTGCCACTGAAATTAATGGACAAGTCCTCATTGACTTTGACAGGTGCAGGATCAGGCCCTACTTATGGTAGATGTAAATTACTCTGCTAAGAGTTGTAAGGCTAACCTATTCCTAAGGGTCATGCCAATCTGAAAGGCAGTAGACCAACTCAAGCTAAATTTCTGAAGCTGTGGGACATGCAAATTGTGCCTAAAACTGTTACTTTTAATTTAACACCTTCAAAAGTGGCACAACACAAATGGAGCAGGGAATTATATAAGATTCTATCATATTCCTGCTCCAACTCCTCTCTCTTCTGTTTCTCTCCCTGCCATTATTTTTTCCTCCTTTTCTATGGCTGCTATGGCAGGACATTTCCCATTCTCCACTTTCCTCATGTTTACAGCCTTTTCTCAGTCTTTCATGGCCTCCCTCATCACATCTCATACTCTCAATTTCTGCTTTGCCAATAAGCAATTTCAGCACTTTTATGTTGCCCTGCACACACTTTCCATAGAACATCTCCACAATGGCAATTCAACTTCCTCCTCAAAATGCTTCTCTGCCACAATGCCCACAGAAAGCCTGACAACGATTAGACCTGATTTACTAAGACTACTGGCTACCTGGATACAACAAAAACAAGCAACAGCTGTTGCTTTCTACTCTCTCCTTTCCTTAGGGTGGAGATGGTTTTCTACCAGATTTCTGTAAAAGTTGGAAGGAACCACAACAGTCATCCAGACTGGAATCATGCAGAATTGCTTGTGGATGTTTTAGAATAGAAATTAGAGAAAGACCTAATGATTAGAACAGCAAAGTTTTGAATCAGCCTTCCAACAGCGTTGGTGAGAGAAGGGGAAAAAAAAAAAGCCGAACCAAACAAAATCAGTGTATAAGGTGGCATACTCATTAACAATGAAATTTAAATTACATGCTTCCTACAATAGCAGTGACTCTGAATGATCAATACAGCCTCATGTTCCTATATTTCTGCTGTCTGTATGTTTGTTTTTCATGAGAATCTTTCTAGTTCTAATATGATTTATTCAGGCCACAATGGAATAACTTCCATGCACCAGACTGTAAACTCCTTCCTTTTGCTTGCTGAAGTAAAAGCTATTGCCACACAACTGCAGAATAGATATTGTTATTTTTAGAAGTATATGAATAATAGATTTGTTTTTCACATCTGGTAACAAGACATGCAATAGCCTAGTTGGTTTTAATGAAGCTGCCCAATCCACAGTACGTAAGGATTGAACCCATTTATTTCTGGCACACATGCAGATAATTAGACCAGAGCCCATTTCATCTGAAACAGGTAGGATACAATAAAAAAAGCAGGAGTCATTAAGCTAAAGTTTCCAAAGGTTGTTTCCAAGTTTTCCTGTGAAATTAACTTAGTGCAGCACCTTTCTCTTAGTTTTGTAGTACAATGCTGCCCTGCACACTCAGAATTCCATCAAAGAATTATCGATTAGAAATTCCTGTCATCTGTGTTGCATACAGGCTTGTGCAGGAGTCTAGTTCCATGCTCTGGATTAATTTTAGCTTAACTTTGATCTTTAGTTACACTAGATGCCTTTGCAACTATCTTTCAACTCATGTTCCAATAGACGACCAAATCAAAATGTACTATAAGCCATCACAAATGGCATCTAACCCACGAGAATACTTTCACATCAGTATAAAACAAAAATATATGGGATAAAGTATGCTTTCAGATGGCAACACCCACATTTTAAGTACTTTTCTTTGACTGAATATCTTAAAAACACCAGTCTTGAAGAATACAATGTGCTAGATGATGCAGTACTTGATGACAGATTTTAATGAATATATATAGCCCACATGGTGTCCCAAGGTATTTGGCAGGTTATTTTATTCAGATTTCATAGCAGATTATTTCTAGGTTTAATGTTTAAATATTTCAAGATCTGCAGAAATGAAGAAAGGGCAAAGAAGTGAAAGAAGCAGAAGTCTGTAGCAAAGATTTTTTTAAAAAAAAATCTGAATATTTGTTGTATAGAACTTAACATTTTTGAGTCTAAGTTGTGTTTTTATACCTTCCTTCATTAGATGGCCTGGAATCCAGCACAACTAATTACACTTCATAATGCAGTTGGTAAATGGGTCCTATCGTTGTCATTTGGCATGCAAGGAAAAAGAACTAAGCTCAGCAAAAGAGTCTTCCTCACCATCAAAGAGAAAAGGGAAAGGACAGGACCTATCAAATCCTGATTGCTACCATTAGAAAACATCACAATTTTCAACCATAGAATAATTTTTAAATCTATTGTTTAAGTATGAAATTACCTTTACTCTCATCTGTTGATTTCATGTGATTTTCACTGTCTTCAATGTAACCTGATCCTAAAATATTAAAACGAAAGTTGAGCTGACAAAATATTTATTATAGCCAACCAAATAAATGAGTTACACAGCTGCAATTCCTATTGTCATTATGTTTATTTACATATGAGAAATTCTACTTTTAGATTCACACTTAAGACATTCATGTAACACAGGTGCGAAGAATGTTGCATTTTAAAATGATCAGCTAAAAACACCCAAGGGGTAACTTGGTTTATATCAGGTGCTCTAAACGACATGTCCACCTATCTTTGTAATGTACATGCAAATCCTGGAATGAAAGGTGCCCAGTGACGGCAAATTAACATCACTATACTGTGGCCAGATCACAGGACCATGTGCCACAACTCAAACTTCCTCTCTGAAATAATTTTCTTGCAGCTGTGTCAAAACTGACAAAACCAGAAAGTAATTTTCTTTTACTGTGATTTCGCCATCTGTAATATTGTTAACTGACTGCCTGGTAGAAGTGTCTGAGCAGACTTATAAACCAATCTTTGTATAAGACATGCTCATAAAAAACTGTACAAAGACAAAATGATACTTGGATGAATGTTATTGGTATTCCTCTGTATTCCACTGGGACCTACCCAAACAACAACCATGTCAGTCCAAAACTTTAAATAAATGTTTGATTAAGCCAAATCACTAACAGTCTTGCACCAAAATAGCCTACCTGAATAGTAGTCTCCATCATTGTGCTGTCTTGTCAGTTTTTCACTTGTCAAATTTGTAGCCAAGGCAGAACTGAAAAGCAAACCAACAAAAGTTGACGTAATTATCCAAAACCAGCCAATAAAACGAACATGATGATATGCAAAGATCAGTCACCGTCTACGCTGACTACCACACATTCTTAACTATTGAAGCTAATGAAAATTTTGCCTTTGTCTTTAAGAGAAGCTCAAGCAAACTTTAAGGTCAAAAATGTTCCCTCTTGCATTACTCTTCTTTAAGACCTCTGTATTTTTAAGTCTATATATAAGTGCATTCAAGAGTAGGCCTGACATTCTTCTATTTCTCTTAGCTGTCCTTTTTTTTCCTCTGTTTAGAGTATTTCCTCATCCTGTTGTGTTAGCAGGTGGTACATGAAGCACAACCATCTATTGTCTGCAGGTGTGTGCCATAATGAACTATATTCATATAGTGGAAGGCCTCCAGCCCTTTAAACAGAAATACTTCACCATTACTATAAAGCAAGCCATCTTACCCAGACATCTCCATGGACGGTCCTTTAGCTTGACAGAGAAAAATAAAAGCATCCATTAATAGATTGCACAAGTAAAAGTATTTAAAAGTAAAACAACAAAAAAAAATACATATAGTGATTATCTACCCAAGTCAGAGTAATTTCTCTTGGCTATCACAAAATTAATTACTTACATCCTGTTTATCACCCAGGTCCCTTAAATGCCTCTTTCACAGAGAACCTAAGATCACAAATCCCAGACTTTAACCTGGCCAATTTAAGCAGTCTGGGACATCCAGATACTTCAAATTTTCCCAAATATTTTGCAATGTACTGCAATCACAGGATTCTTGATTAACCAGATTTACTTATCTTTAGAAAGAACAAGATCTGAAAGAATACCTTAATGATAAAAAATGAATCCCTAAGTGAAATTGCATTACAGTGTGGGGAGAAAAAAAAAAAACACAACAAAGAAACCCACAACCTTAAATTTGTTTCACGAGTGCTACAGAAGTATCTCAATTACGCCTGAGCGGGGATGCCAAATCAAATTGTTATAGCTCCATAAGGGATTGAAAAACTCCTCAGGGCCTGTCTGCCACTACATTGCACAGGGCTGAATTCCAGACCTACGACTGCATCAGACAGTGCAATTCTGGTCTATGTCCAATAATCTTTGCTTAACTAGTGCCTTCCGAGCACCATTAGTTAGATGCTCCCATTCTGCCCAATGTACTTGGAAAGCTTCTGCACACTTGCCGCTTAATTTGGGTCACCCGGCATTTTTAAGTAGATTTTTAGGTTTTTCAAATTGTGTTTAGTCATCTCCTGAAGCCTCACACACACAAACTTTTGCTCCTGAAACAAAGGCAAGTCTTTATCTGTAATACATTTGTCACCAAAGAAATAGAAGGGAACCATTCATTACCCTTTTTCTTCTTCCACAAAAACCACCATAAAGCGAGAGTTACTGCTCCTGCAACAGGTATTAGGACAAATGCAGCAATGATTCCTTTCTGCCAAGATGCTAAGATGACTGGAAATAAGAATGACATGTTTTAGAGAGTATGTACAGCGACAGGTCATCATTACCAACTTCTGCAGTTCCTGAGCTTTCATTTTACTAAAAATTGGCCTTCTTACACACTGGGGAAGAACTTTAAGGAGACTTGCATGCATAGTTCACTAGTGAGCCTCTCCTTTGTGACTGAAAACTCAGTGCAACAACAGATTGGTTTTAGCTTTCATCTGGCTCATTTGGCTTTTGAGCATCCCTTAAACTTTTCTATGTAAGTTAGACAATCTCTGTTTATAAATGGATCTCTATTTAACTTCTGACAAAGATGGAACAAAAAGAAGTAAGGGAGTTATACTTCATAACATCCCAGATAACATGACCTCACCTGTCATAATGACATAGCATGCAGTTTATCACAAAAGTTAGCTTACCACTGATGGTTATTGGATGGCTTTTCACATCCACATTAGCTCGATTAGAAGCCACGCAGTAATACGTCCCTGTGTCCTGCCTGTTCATTGCTTCCTTGCGCCACATGACTCTGTCTGCATTTTCACTTTTTTCAAACAGAAGAACTTCATGATCAGTTTTTCTAAAAATCCTGAAGAGGATTGGCCAAGATCCTTCTTTCACAGAGCAGAGAAAAGCAGTCTCACTGCCATCTTCCACTTCTCCATATGGAATACTGCCCGGGGGGTGGTAGCAAGTTCAGAGGAAGGCACAAAGAAAACAAATATTAGCACTAGTAGAAATAACTTTGATGACAAAATATTTTATTGTAGAAATACTTGCTTTAATGCCATTTTACTTAGTTAAACAGAGACTGAATGCATGGTATTAATCTTTCAGAATAGTCTTTGCCAAACAGTATCCTCTAATAAATATTTTTATACACCCAGAAACAGAGAGGGCGCTATAAAGAAACAAAGAAGACAGAAGGAAACTATATCCATTCCAGAGAAGTCAGTCAGCCTTTTTTCTTAAACTCCTTTGGATGCCCCTGAGGCCTCAACTTACAAATTATTTAATTTTCAGAAATAATACACTCAGCAGTTTGATAGTGTAAATAATTATAGTTCAACTTATGTAGCTATGCTTTCATTGTTATGTAGAGTTTTATGCTAACTAACATTTTATTTTATGCTAACTGTATCATATGTTTCTTGTAACCTTTAATATACAATAGTGCCTATCAGCAGATACTGGATCAAGTTCTTCAAAGACAGAAGCAAGTCCCGAATTCTAATGGTTACAGAACACAGCAAACAGAGAAGTTAGCCAAGATGATACAGGCTTGCTGTTTTACAAATTAAGTATATTAGCATATACAGAGCAAATGAGCATCAGCACTTAAAATGACATCGGGGAAAATGTATGTACATTCTGTGATGCAAGGCATGTAGAATGTTAGTAGCTCCACAAAATATTTGGGATATGAAGCATCTGTTTTGCTAAAAATCACTATACAAAATTTCTCTGGAAATATTATAAATGTGCTCGGGGCAGGGTCATGGATAACGCAATGCAGATGTAAAGGAGGAGTCATTAAGGCAACACTGGTACAGAAGCAGAAGGAGGAAACCAAATCTGATATGAAAAGATGCTGGTCCTAAAAGTTGTATTTGTATTAGATAGGAAGCAGAAAGCAGATTTAGGTACAAGATGTGGGTTACTGCAACAGATCACATGACAGAGAGGATTGCTCTATAAAACGTAACTCTTTTTTCAGATCTGGTACAGACAGAAAAGACAGAATACAGAGAATTCTTTTTTCAGTGGCGCCCAGTGATAGGACGAGGGGTAATGGGCATAAACTTGAACATAGGAAGTTCCATCTTAACATGAGAAGGAACTTCTTTACTTTGAGGGTAGTGGAGCACTGGAACAGGCTGCCCAGAGAGGTGGTGGAGTCTCCCACTCTGGAGACATTCAAAACCCGCCTGGACGGTGTCCTGTGCAACGTGCTGTAGGTGACCCTGCTCTGGCAGGGGGGTTGGACTAGATGATCTCCAGAGGTCCCTTCCAACCCTAACCATTCTGTGAATTCTGTGAATTCAAAACTGCCACCTCAGGAGTGGTGGACAGCAGAAGACTGGCTCACCAGGCTCCAAAATGCAACTTTCTATTCAGAACTTCCATCATGACAATATATCCTGAACCACTGCTCTAACAGCTGGGGTACACTGGTTCCAGCAAAGAAATACCCACTTGCTAATGGACTAAGATTATGCTTTGTATTTGTTTATTTGTTACTTGTTATACCAAATTACCTTGGCTTTAAATCTCACTGGATAAATACCTTCAGAGGTTTATAATTCAGCTTCTCTCTAGGGTTGGCAAAGCACATCCTGGTGGAACTGTTTAACTTAAGGGGCAGTCCTACTTCTATAGGCTAGGCAAATGCAAATACTGTATTAAAAGACCTGTTTGGGGGCTCACGGAGTGGAGAGCACGTCCTTTAACTGTGCAATAATTCAACTGACTCAGAAGAAACGCAACAGTTCTGTATGTATCTGTTCTAGTCATATACAACTCACTGTCAAAACTCAGGAGAGAGACCAGCCTGTTAACCACAAGTCTATCTTATCAATAGCTACACAATTTGGGTTCAAGCTGGGACAGAAAACTGAAAACTCCTTGGTAGAGAAAGATTCTCTCTTCTTTTCAACAGGTCAAGAATAGACTTCTCTGGTCCTGGACTACTTTGCTGTAATCAGGTTAGGCAAATCTAAAATACTGATGATACATTCAAGAAAAGTAGCTAGGAGACAAAGTTAAAATGGATCCTCCACCACCAATTCCCTTACAGTCCCAAAGAACTCTATTTTTTTTTCCAATAGCTGTATGTGGTTACTATCTGGTCAAATTATATTGACATAGGTGTCAACAACATGCACAGGATACACAGCTCTAATTATCTTTCACTGTGTATTGCCAAACCACTACCGAAGTATTCAAATTTTTTTATGTCAGACCGACAAAACTGACCAACTCTGAACAAAGTAAAGTAGAGGTGACACTACTGAGCAGACAAACATTTTGAAGATGTTACAGGCAAAGTATTATTTCCTTTAATAAAAAGTAAATACCTACAATTAGTTGGTTCCTTCTGTAGACTAAGGGTATTCTCAAGTCCTCCAGGAGCAGCAGCACAATCAGTGCTTTATTTCCACTTAGTTAGGAGAATATTATTTCTGCTTACCTCATTCACTATTAAAGATGAACCCCAACAAGACAGTATCTGTCAACATGAAGCCTACAACTGTTAGGGACCATTATCTAGTGCAGAAGGTTTCAGTATGCTTCCTCAAACAGATACACTGTTCTCTACAATTGTTTAACTTAGATTTTCAAATTAAATTCAAGGTCCAATCTGTAGCTTGGCTACAGGATACTCAAGAAACTTTCTTAAGCCCTGCAGCAAACCCTATTGTTAACAAATAAGTTCTTGGGGCACACAGGGAACGGCTTGTGATGGGAACAGAACATATCTAAATCAGTGAATTTTCTCAAGCCAAACCTTTGAACCACTAGCATCTAAACCAGAAACTGTCACATGAAACCTCACTACCATCTGCTCTGAGTTCACCAAACAAATCTACAGAAACACAGTACACTGGTTAAAAAATCCTACCCAGACAAAACTCTCCCTTACACATGTGACAACAGGGAAAACTTCACGCACATGTTTTAAGAGTTACCAGCCCTGACACTGGTCTTACGTGGCCTACTACAGAACTATTATTTGCTTTGGTTTCTCTTCAAATCTGTCAATAGCACATTTGCAAATCACAGCTTTTTCACTTGCATTCCCCTTCTTGGAGTACTGCTAAGTGTTATATAAATTTAGATGGATTATTAAAAGTGCAGATTTGCATCTTTTACCAGGAGTAAAATCATAGACTAACTTCAATATCACTATGTATACATCTAATCCAGTCCTATGAAAATCAAACATGAAGAAAATAGATCTGGTCCTGAAATTTTTAATCACTAAATTTTACTAAAACAGCTTCTATAAGATTCCAAGTCAGATCTATTTTTAACATTAAAATAAACTCAATTGTAGTTAACTTGATTCAGATTACTATCAAGATTTTTACTTTAGTGACAAATAATCTGTGAGACCGATCTCCAACTATTTGTAATTCAAGTGAGCAAAAATTTATAAACGTTTCACATCCACTTCGCTTAGTCCATCATTTGCTGCTACAGTTTCAAAAATCAAAATATGACACTACACAAGAAGAATTAAACAGACTTACCTATTACTGTGATGTTTAGAATACTGCTAGTTTTCACACCACTGGAGTGATTATTTCTAGCATCACATTTGTATCCTCTTCTGTCATTTTGTCTAATATTTTCATCAAAGAACGTAGCATATGTATCATTAATTACTATTTTCTTAACTTCATTTCCTTTGTAGAATGTGAATGTTATTGGCGGTGTTCCTGTCACTGAACGACAGATTAACCGTAGAGGCTTCCCTAACACCACCTCTGGCAAACCACCGACAACAGATAGAGTTGGCTTGGAGACTGGAGCTAAAAGGGGAATGAAGAAAAAAATGTTCAAATTACACTGCATAAGGCCAAAAGATACAATATTATTTTATAAAAAACATATAAATATACAATATTTAGCTAGTTTGCACACACAGCCTCTATTGGGAAGCTCTTCCTCATTGATAAGAGTGGAAGCAGGGGGTGACGAATAAAATAAAAACATAGATAATAAAACTTAGAAAAAAATAGCACATAAGGAGAATGTAAAGGAAAAAAAAAAAGGACCAGTGACACAGCTGTGGATCATCCAAACTCCAGAACTAGCTCTGACCCAAAGAGTAAGTCTGTAGAGCAAAAAACATATGCAAGTACCATTGCATGTATTACCTGAGATGGATCCTGCAGCACCTAATCAGGGACCTCTGTTTCTGCAGCACAGTGAATCACAACCCAGTTAATCCCCCTTTACAGACCTGAGAACCAACTGTGCTTATTCCATGAGAGGGAAGGAAACTAGGGTATTTATAATTAGTGTGCTGGTGAAAGGGTTGTATTGATAGGTCTTTTCTGGAGTAGAGCTATCCAGATGACCTCTGGCTCTCGCGGCTTTCTCCCTGGAGGGTCAGGGGAGGGATTCAAGGCAGACACTGACAAAGTTTCAGACCAAACTGATGAGTGAAAGGTTTGCAGAACATTCCCAGCTCCTGCAAATGGTAATGAATGAGAGTTTATTTGGCACCTAGCAGAATCAAGGGAACAGAAGGAAGACATGCTAACTTCCTTCTCCTTGGGCCAGCCCTGAAAAAGTCTGACTTGATTGTATCACGATAGGCTGAATCCTCTACAGCTAAAGATTACAAGCACATCTCACAGAAATTCATATTGCAAGAACTAATAGAACCCTGCTAGTTCACAGACTAGAAAACGATTCTGTAAACAGATGTGCTTATTTATAAGCTTACGGTTTTGACTTTTTCCTTCCATCATTGGGTTCTAAGCCTCTGTATCAACTCACCATAAACATTTATCCTTACAGGTTTGCTTTCCTTGACTATTCCTTTTACTTCAGCTTTACAGATATAGGACCCAGTATCATTCACATTAACTCTCATTGTTAAGTTTCTAGAATTTTTCAACCAGATGTCTCCATTTGAATTTTTCCGTAATATAGAGAAGTTAGCTTTCCGAAAACCACTAATGCTGCAACTCAAAGTTAATTCTTTATTTTCATCCAGCTTATTCATAGAAGCAGCCAATATTGGCTTGGGGAATAACTCTGAAAGATAAAAAGAAAACAAATTCAAATTGAGCCTAAAGGAATATGACTACTAAGCTCAAGGTAGACAGAATGAACGCCATACTGAAAGTTTACAATCAGGGAAAAAAACAATCATATTATTTTAATATAATAATATTTTCAGGGAAAACATATCTGAATGTATTATTTTAGTTGGAAAGTACTGGCAGGCAAAAATCAGAAACATTTCAGTTTCTGATCTATATCTAAATAGCTTTTAACTTAGGGAAAATTTACACTTGGATCTGGAGGTTACACTTGGATCTTGAATTTTACCAAATTTAAATTTAAATATTAATCTATTGAGTAAAATTTAAGATGAACAGAGGTGTTACCTGACACTTCAACATTCAGTTTGGTGGTTTTAGATGCTCTCCCTTGCTCCACCTTACACAGGTATTCACCACTGTCCTCTAGAGTAGCTACTGCAGAGTATTTCAAACTTTTCTCATCTCGTACACTATTCAGTATTGTTTTGTTTTTCTGGAGTATGATTTCAATGTCACGCATTCGGGCTACCACAGTTGAGCATTCAAACTGTATTCTGTCTCCTTCTGTAATATTATTTGAGGGCTTGGCACTCAGAGTAGGCTTTATAAATGGTTCTGCAAGAGAATACACATAAACTCATGACCCAACTTTTTAATTATAGCAAGCAAAGAAATGTAAAAAAAAAAAAAAAGCTAAGTAACTTACCCCTGACTGTAACAAGTGTTTTGTTGCTGTGTTCTGAGTTTTCAAATTCGAGTTTTACAGTTCTTCTACCAAAGCAATCAAATTGTAAAATATTATCTCCCTCTTCAACAGAAAATTCCACTACAGAAAAATTTCTGTATGGTTCAAATACATGTTTTTCTTTAGGTGTTGAATTCATCTTTATCTTTCGGAAAAAGAAATATAAAGGAGGTACTTCTTCTGGCAGCTCACAACGTAATTTCACAACATCACCCTCTAAAACTTCTTTTTTCTCAGCAGTTAGGATTGGCTTGGTCATTCCTTAGAACAGAAAACAAGAAAAGAAATAGAACAGTGAATAATCCTAAAATAAACACTGTCTCCAATGACTATGGGAGTGATTTATGCTAATGAACAGATGCAAATATTTTGCAAGAACTGAGCTTTTGAAGAAAATTCCTTTGATATGTGGGTGCATACAATCTTGATGGAATGTGTGAAGTACGAAACTTGCTGTTTTGAAGGCAAGACAACTTCCTCCTCAGCGTTTCCCATTGCCACTCAGAAATGAGCAAGGGAAGAAACTAAATGTCATGCCACCTTCAGGACCTCGAGGTGCAGGCTTCTGAAGAAAAATTACAGGCTCTGCAAACCCCTGTAACTAATTAATGCTGAACAAATTCTTTACAAGTTGCTTTTCCAAGGGGAAAAATGGCACTTGCAGTCAAGAACATGTGGCTAGAAAGAGTATAGATGGAGGTGCCCCCTGTTCTCATAAGAGATGAAAGAACAAGACTAATGTAACATTGTCTACAAAAGTAGTCCACAGTTCATGCTAGCTTTGGCAACGGCTATCGCAAGGTGAGAATCTCTCTACTTCATTTCCAACTATTCCAGTAATCTTGCCCCTCCTACACCATCATGTTTATGATCTATAGGCACAAGCTTTTACAACTAGTACTTTCTCTAGTCTAGGGAACAGAGGCTCAGGACAGAGGGGATGGCGGCACAGATTGCATTCCTGACTATCACTGATCTGCCAGGTAGCCTTGGGATAGTATTTCATTTCTCTGCCTTAACATTGGGATTTAGTACTAAACTCTTGTAAAGTACTGTGACGTCTATGGATAAAAACCACTTTCAAGACATCCTATTTAGCACTGACTATTATTACTTCCCCATGAAGGTTGTTGCCTTTCTGTATCTTAGAAAACTGCCATGTTTGCAGGAATACTCACCTGTTACCCAAACATGTAAGGAGCTACTAGATTTTGTCTTTCTGCCTGCTTCCACAGTACATTCATAATCTCCTGTATCTGAAGATCTAGCCATAGGTATTTCATATTGTGCATCTCCTTTGTCTGATACAGTCATGAACACAAGCTTGCCATCCTTAAAAATTGTAAAATTATGCTTCAGCTGGAAATCAGTACTTTTGCTAATATCAGCATGGCAGACAATTGACATAGGAGCTCCATTCTTTACTTTGACAGATGGCTGAACCTTGATTTCAACTGCGTTGAAAGTAAAAACTGGATGGAAATAATAAAAAAGTGTTATATTTATTTTCAATTAGTCCAACATAATACTGTTATCTCAAGCTGCTACATGTTAGTCATAAAAATTAATTCATTGTACCCTAGTAACAGGTGTTATAATTTTTGTGATCAGATCTCACAGATGTCGACGGTGGTACCAGCTTTACCTTCCACAGATATATTAGTGGCAACTACTGATTGTCACAGCACACGCTGTCCATCTGCTCAGTCTTTGCCTTGGGGGACTGAGACAATCATTGATTTGGCCATGATCTTGGCCAAATCTACTAAATTCCCTAGAAGACACAGAGGACACTGAAATAGGTTTGCAGCTACTTCTTAGTTTTCCTTATTTCTCATGGTTTGTTGTCTTCAACTCTAATTGGCAGGAGATCCAAGAGGTGAACAAAATTTTGTATTTATACTTGTCTGAATAAACTGAAAAATGACAGTAAAACCCTGATTAGAGTTGTATTAAACCCCAAGCCAATTCACCCCCAATTAGCAGAAATTCATGGAGTTATCCCAGTATTTTTTATCTGAAAGTAAGGTTAGGGTTATGTCATTCAGCAAATTCCAGTTTAAACATCCCCACAAGCTTGCGAGAATCTTAAATTTCTAGTTTAGGATAACTAGAGTGTAACAGGAGATATTTAGGTTCAAGTTCTGCAAGCAAACATGCACATGCCTAACTTTACATCACTGGCAGTCCAGCAATCGTACTCTCAAGAGACCATAGCAATCATACCCTGATTAATTAAAATACAGAATCACTTGCAGAAGCAATGCTTTGAATAAATTTAGCTATGTTAGTCCCTGCAAAAATATACTAAATAAAATATTTCTATTAAAAAAATTAATTGATAAGCACTTCAAGAAATAAAGTTTATAATAGCATTAAGATATATAGTGCTTCTGTGTTTATAACCACAGCAATGATAAATAATTTGTAGCTTAAAATTTTAAAATTATTAGAATCCTGGTAGAATTAATATTTTTGTTCACACAGCTAGATGAATAAATATAGAGAAAGATTTATGGGTTCATTCACTTTGTCTTCCTTTAGAACTTACAGCTTTTGGGTATGCCCATTTTGGCCTGGATTTGTATTACGAATTTGCTGCAGGAAAACTTTTCTGCATCTAAAGAAGTCCCTTGCCATGTACACTTACCAGCTAATTATAGATTGTCCTTGCTAAAGAGAGTTTTGGGCATAAAACCAATGCAAAAATTGTAATTTTTTTTGCATGCGAATACACTACATGACAACAAGAAGCAAACATTTCTCCCTAGTGATGGAAAAAATGAAGTATGTAGAGTGTACGTGCTGGAAGTCAGCAAGATGATAACATAAAAGTAAGCGCATTCCTTTCAGAACACAAGTTCTATACTCTGCTCAAACATGAGCTTTTCTTTTGGAAGAAAAAGAGCAAGAGAGTGCCCTTAGCTTATATTCTATAATTTTATCCTACCTCCTTGCTTGTGGGCACAAAACAGTTTGTTAAATACCAAACCAAAATGCTAGTAATTAAATTTCCTCTCCCGTCTTTTCTCTTGTATGCCTCAGTAAAGCAAATTACTCTAGGAAAGATTTCACCAAAACACTTCTTAAAGTATGAGCAGCACATTTCTCATTTAAACACTATACCAAGAAACACCACCAAGTAATTTTTTTTTTTTTTTGCATGCCCATATCTTGTACTGAGCTACAGTACAGCAAATCCAGATAAACTCTGTTATGGATGCACATCAACAACTGAGGAATTAGTTAAATTACTTATTTTAAATTTGTATGTGAAGAAAACCAACTATAATTACTTGCCTTCCTCCTGAGTGTAAAGTTCTGAACCTGGGAAAAAATGAAAAGAAATGTTATTTTCAAAGCTTACAGATTGAGAGACAGCAACGGGAAACAGTAAAAAAGCCCCAACAAGCCCCAAACAAACCAGAAACACATGTACCCACCCAGACATTTAGTTATCAAACTTACACTGCAAGAAAATCACCAGAAGAGCAAGATACATCTCGTTTCTGAAGAACAGACACTTAATTCCAAAATAAAACAATATTCATCATCAGAAGTGATGTCTCCAGGTACCAAAAGCAGGTTATGATTTTTTCTGTTGTTGTTTTATGGAAACAGATAAAATTTTGCCATTAAAATTTGTAAGTTTTCCCAGATCTTCAACAGAAACTGGCTAGATCAAGTAATCGTTCCCATTACTGGAAACTGGAAATGGCAAACAATGAGAATCTATCTGCTGCTCACAGGCAGATTACTGTTCAGGAAGTGACTGGACTTTTCCTGAGGGCGCCACCAAATGCATTTGCTTTGTTTAATTTCTTAAGGTGTATTAAAAAAACAAGAAGTTCCAATGACATTTATCCTGCAGTTCCTGTCAATACGGGTATTTTTAAGTCACAATTAACCATTTATGAACACAAATTACCTTTGCTATTTGACCTCAGCAGTTCCTTGAGCAAATATTTCCCTTCATCCTGACATGGAGAACTGTTTCAGAAAATACAGGTACATAATTATTCATTGTTCTCCTTTACCTCCCTTTTTAGGTCTCTCATCTGTGCTGTGGCAAATAACAGCTTTACTGCAGGGTGCCCAAAAAATTCAAATTATCTCAGAAACCATAGTTACTGTTGTGTTAGACTAGAATATTGACAGGCAGACCTCTCATACTACCATCATATGTAAAAAACACAAAACTGCACAAGATTTTATTTTATGTAGTTAGGACAGTGCAAAACATATACAATCATAAAACTTAAACCCCACAAGAAAAGAACCACAGGAAGTTTCATTCCTCCAGAAATCTGAAGCAGCACTGGCACAATCTGAAATAGAGAACATGCTGGAGCAAGAGTTAAATCTGCTAGTCCCTTGACGCTGTTTGAATTCAGGCATCCCTGAGATCTTCTGATGTCTTCTGAGTTCCTTAAGTTTTTGCAATGGTGTAAGCAGCCTGATAATATGACAGCCAACCTGAAATCAGGGATGATTAATTCTGCATCCAAAACACTGAAAGCAGAAACTGAGCAAATGTGATCATAAGAGGAGGAAAAGCTACAAAACATTCTACTTCAGCATTTTGCCCTCAATTTCCACTTGTATAAACGTCAGCCTGAGATACAGTAAGGAACTGATGTAAAATTCAGAACACTTGAATTACTCAACTTCCTGTAACAAAATTGAGGTTTTTTTCTGGTTATGGATGAAAGCCACCATGCACACCAGTAAATCAGTAGCCATCAGCTTTGATTTAGGTGAAATTGTTCTGAAGAACACAAGTTGTGAAAAAAAAGAAAAAAGTAAAATGTAACAATTATCCAAAATCTCATTACCATGACCAGTTTCTTGATATTCAGATGGGGAGGGGATGGGAGAGATGGACAGAACAAAGAAAGCAAGAGAATTACAGAAATGCTGTCCTGTCCACTACTTCCTCTTCTACTTTTCTTACTTTATATGAATGTGCTTTTAATCTTAAATAATCTGACATTGCAGAAGTGGCAGATTTAAGCACCATTTCGTTTTTCCAGAAAAAAATTACTCTGTAACTTTAAGGAATTCAATGTTCAGTACCTTTCAGTTGTTCAGGATATTCCTTTCTCAGTTACCAGTCCTCTTTTAAGTCAGACAGAAGTCATTCCGCTTCAGCCCTAATATTGATTCAGCCTATAGGCTTGATACAGTGTGTTGAAATCCTGCCCTTCAAAAAGTGTTTCTCAAGTTCTGTGTTCCAGAACTCCCTAAGCAGTGATTTAGTTATTCTTGAAAATCGAGTGCTTGACTCTTAATCCCTTTGATTCTTTCCTTTGTAGGAATGCTTTCCTTCTAGTGACATTTTCCAAACTTGTTAAAACGCTGCTTAAAACAATACTAAATACTAATACTACATTCACAGAAGCCTATAAATGAGACATACAGTTCTCATAAGCTTCACTGTTTATATGAAACACCTTTTTTTTTTTTCTTCTCCTGGGGTCAACAAAAACTGTATTTTTTCCCCAAAAACAATAGTTTAAAGCTGTAAGTGTACTTTAATGCTTATATTACACACACAAGTGTGGTATTTTGCAGGAGGAAACAGGAGGGAAACACTCATCTGTTTAACAATGTATTGGCAATATGAACAATCATCTATCTAGCTATTTTGCAGGGAGGGAGTACAGAATGGCACAATAGTCATAGCAGTGAATGACTAAGAAGTAAGCTGGTTAGCTAGCAATAGTATTTGTTCTGCTTACTCCAGTCTGTTTGAAATATACCACCAACAAAAGACTGATGGTTTGGCTGGTTGCCAACAGTGGTCTCCAGAGCCAGGTAAAGGAAAAGAGGATGATGACACATGGCAGGTGGAGAACAAAGGTAGATCAACTTTTGCTATTGATAACGAAAATTAGGAAGGAAGGAGATTTCCCCCTTTCCCCATAAAAGAATTAAACAGGACATACAAAGCTCAGCAAAACCACACCAGTCTTTCCCACGGAGGGGACAAAGGCCACAGCGACAGAAGGAGAAAGTACATGTGGGCCAATGCCCTTCAGAGTGAGCCAATATGGTTGAGCTCAGAACCAGAAAGGCCAGCTTTTAGGATGAAGTGGGTCAGGAGCAAGGTTTAATGATGCCAAAACCTGAGGCTGTTGTGAGAGGTCACTCCCAAGTGAAGGATATTTCATAAGATCTCACAGGCCAATTAGACTGTCATATTCTTGATAGGCCCTCAACATTGCCTCGGAGAGGAAAATCTAGCTGGTATTGACCAAAATCCAAGAACTAAATTCAACCACAGGAATTTAAGCGAAAACATTATGAACCTCGGGAGAAAAGCATTTCAAATGCAAAAGAATGGCTTGAGACCATCTTCCATTGTTAAACTGGAAATCAGATTGACTTAAAGAATTTAAACTTAAAAGTACCTGTGCCAGTAATACAGCTGCATATTTTCCTAAGTCATCTTATTGTAATCTCTCAAAATACGTTTTTCTGAAATACATAAAATCAAAATTATTGTAATATATGTCATCTAAAGAACTCTATTCAGTCCCTGTAATATTTCTGGGAAAAGCAGGATTGACCTCAAAAATGCAACACACCTTCTGAGGCAGACAGAATAGTCATTATAATCTGATGCAATACCATTTGAAACCTATAGGAATCATTACATTTAATCTACTGCCCAATTAATAGGACCCTTAAACATTAAAGTTGTGCTCATCTGGGAATTCACGATCCCTGTTTCTGCTGGCTGGGTCCCCCACTACTTGCTTACATATGACATTTCCTAAAACCCACCAGCTCTGTCATCTGAGAAGAGCTTTGCTTAAAATCAGAAGCAAAGCCTATTTTCCTAACTAAGGGCAAAATGCTGAATAAGATTTTCAAATTTTTCCCTCTGCGAATACAATGTTTTCAGCCAGTCCCTTATGACAGGAAAGGAAGCTAGGAGTTCACACCATATTTCAGCTGTTTGTTTTCATTCACTTTCCAGCCGGCTGGCATGACAGTAAAGAGCACACCACAGTGCTGATCTTTAGGACTGACGTCTTACTTCCTCACAGAGCACACGCTGATTCCAGCGAATCTTCTGGGGCCGCTATACTTTCTCTCCTGGTCTCAAATGCTCAGTTCCTGATGGCAGTTTACTTTCTTCAGAAAAGATGAAGTCTTTACACGTGTTGCCTTCAAGTTCTATCTTGCTGATTTATTGTCAAAACATTTGTCTTAACATAACACTGTGGGGTGATCAGATCTTGTCCCTGGTAATAGAGGTTCCACATAATTTCTTGTATAAGTTCACTGATTTTAAAAACAGTTAATTGCTATAGAGGTATATCGACAAATGTTTGGCTTTTTTCTAAATCTTATTTTAAAATTTATAAAAATTCAGACATCTGTGTCCATCTATACTGAAGTCAACACAGGCTTTCCAGTAACTAAATCAACAATCGAAAAACAGCTCTGATTTCTAATCCTCCAATCCCTGACATGTATAATCGTTTAATCGTTTTGGCTCCTTACAACCGTGGACTGTTTTGCTTAATTATTACTTTCTGTCTCAGAATAGTCATAGATAATAGAATTATAACAAACGTTGCTGTTTTCACAAGTCTAGACAAATCCCTGGGGAACTAGGAATGAACTGAGTTTGCTCTACATATATTTTTGGGGTATATTGTCTTATCTTGAATGTGGCACATTTGCATAATTTGTCTTATATTTTAAGTGTCTCTTAGTACCTCCCTAGAGAAGAATAAAAAATTAATTATATCCCTGGATTTGAATATTTACAAAGAACATCAAAGAAATTAACATTTTTTTCCAAAAGTCTAGAAGCTCTACACTTTACAGAAACTCTGTAGATTGCTGAAAGTTTGTACTTATCAGCATAAATTGCATTTCACAATGGCACCATCTACTGGGAGATGACCACTACAGTGAAGCACACTGTGGTTCTCTCATTTCTCTCATTTGCAATTAAACCTACAATTACTGATATCCAACACCTCCTACAAATGGCAAAATCAATTAGATCTGGAAAAGCAACTGAAAGAAGCAGGAAGCTGATAATGAGCTAATATCACTGAGATTTTCACACTGAAATATTTTTTTTAATACAACAGGAGCTAATTATGACTATTTGGCTTTACACTTCCTTACTGATGTGGTACAACATTGAAAAGAACTCTAGGAATCTGAAATCTTGACTTGTATGTCATGTAGCACGCATTTCCACGTACCTTAGGAATTAATTTAGACAAAGGAGAGAAATTTCTTCTTTCAGATGTGTGAAACCTATTTGTTGGCTGACATTATGATTCTGGTCTCTGATACTGCCTCTCAAACTTTCTTTGTTCCAGTAGTGTGTGTAAATGACTGATTCTACACCTTGAGGACATTTTTAACTGCCATATCCTACTGGGTTAACAAATTCCTCAGATTAGAAACAGACATCACAGACTGTGTCACCGTCACACAGTGTGTTTATCTAGCAACATATCAGAATTCGCACTTGTTTTGCTAAACATCCAGCATTTCTGGATGCAGCAGAAAAACAACCTTGAGCTCTTCAATAATATTCATCACACAGTATGGAGAGTGCCAGAGAAAAGGTCAGAACCTTCTGGCTGGAGAGGGAATTAATTCTGGAAATATTTTTCCTTCTCTGTACATTCCCATTGTTTTTGTATTGCTTGATGATTCTCCAAACATTATTCCACATCAGTTTCATA